AGTTTCCTCTAGAAAACACAAATCCAGAGAGTTCAGAGAATGAGGAGAGAGAGGAAAGAGGGAAGAGAACAATTTATTCCAGCCTGAAATGTCAAATCTCCAACATCACTGAGGAAAACTGAGGAAAGGTCTGATGATTATACTGAACGTGTTCTAGATGTAAATAAATACATTACATAGTTCATGAATGCATTCAGACTAAATTGTGAATTACCTAAGGTGTTTTACAAATGCATTTCTTTTCTTCTTCCATGTCAGATTATACTACAATCTATAATTTCTCCATACAGACCTTCAAATAAGTTATAACATCAAGTTTTTTTCTTCAGTAATATATAAAAGCACTGTACAGCAAATATACACTACAAAAATTATAATATTCAAATACAGCTGTGTAATGGTGTATCTGAAAGGTACAGAACTGTTATAAATATATCTTTAAGGCACAAAAAAGGTACATTAATAACAAAAAGTACAATTGTGGACCTCATTGTACATTTAAGGCACCATCAGTGACAGGTTTGGACCCTTGTTTCTGAGTGTATGCAGTAAAAATGATTTTAAAAAGGATTCATCCTAATAACCTTTAACATTTCATTAATCAGCTGTCAATAATTAACATATAGTGTTCAAGTAAGCCTGTCTTTTTTTCCAAATTGTTCTTCTTTTTCCGAAATGTATTAAATTAATTAATTTCCTTAAAATTCTACACACAATTCCCTATAATGACAAAGTGGGGAAAAAAAAGAGTTTTTGAAATTGTTGCAAATTTATTAAAAATAAAAAAGCTGAAAAATCACATGTACATAAGTATTCACCGCCTTTACCGTGAAGCTGTAAATTGAGCTCAGGTACATTCTGTTTCCACTGATCATTCTTGAGATGTTTCAGCAGCTTAATTGAAGTTCACCTGTGGTAAATTCAGATGATTGGACATGATTTGAAAAGGCGTACACCCGTCTATATAAGGCCCCAGGGTTGACAGTGCATGACAAAGCACAAAACCAAGCATGAAGACAAAGGAATTGTCTGTAGACCACCGAGACAGGATTGTCTCGAGGCACAAGGCTGGGGAAGGTTATAAAAAGATTTCTGCAGCTTTGAAAGTTCCAATGAGCACAGTGGCCTCCATCATCCGTAAGTGGAAGATGTTTGGAACCACCAGGACTCTTTCTAGAGCTGGCTGGCCAACTAAGCTGAGTGATCGAGTTAGAAGGGCCGTAGTCAGGGAGGTAATTACCAACCCGATGGTCACTCTGTCTGAGCACCATTGTTCTTCTGTGGAGAGAGGAGAACCTTACAGTAGGACAACCATCTGTGCAGCAATTCACCAATCAGGCCTGTATGGTAGAGTGGCCAGACAGAAGACACTCCCTGCCTGGAATTTGTATCTGAAGGACTCTCAGACCATAGGAAACTAAATTCTCTGGTCTGATGACACTAAAATTGAACTCTTTGGAGTGAATGCCAGGCGTTAAGTTTGAAGAAAACCAGGCACCACTTATCACCAGGCTAACACCATCCCTACAGTGAAGCATAGTGGTGGCAGCATCATGCAGTGGAGATGTTTTTTAGCAGCAGTAACTGGTGGACTAGTGCAGCAATGGACAGAGACATTCTGAATGATATCCTGCTTCAGAGTGCTCTTGACCTCAGACTGGGGCGACGGTTCATCTTCCAGCAGCACAATGACACTGCCAAAATATTAATGGAGTAGCTGCACAACAACTCGGTGAACGTCCTTGAGTGGCCCAGCCAGAGCCCAGACCTAAATCCTATTGAACATCTCTCGAGAGATCTGAAAACGGCTGTACACTGTCGCTTTCCTTCCAACCTGATAGAGCTTGAGAGGTACTGCTAAGAGGAATGAGCAAAAATTCCCAAAGACAGGTGTGCCAAGCTTGAGGCATCATATTCAAAAATTCTTGAGGCTGTAATTGATACAAAAGTGCATCAACAAAGTATTGAGCAAAGGCTGTGAATACTGATGTACTTGTGATTTTTCAGTTTTTTATGTTTAATAAATTTGCAACAATTTAAAAAAATAATAATTGTGGGGGATTTTGTGTAGAATTTTGAGGAAATTAATTTAATCCATTTTGAAATAAGGCTGTAACATAAAAAATGTGGAAAAAGTGAAGTGATATGAATACTTTCCGGCTGCACTGTATACATGAATGAGTGTGTGTGGAAAAAATACAGGTCTTTGTACAATGGTCACAGATGAAATGCCATTCATCATTTTAAATGTACAAATGTGATTTAATGTGTGGACACTAAATTTTGTGACGGTTTTATTGATGTATAACTTCTTATTGACATGTAAAGTAAAATATTTAAAAATGGCAAATAATTAGTATTTGGGACTGCATTGTAATTCTTTCCAGCTGGAAAAAAAAAACAGCTGAAACTAGCCTAAACCGGTTTTAGCTGGTCGACCAGCCTGGTTTGATAGAGGTTTTGGCTATTTGCAGGCTGATTTCAGCCATCGCCTGGTCTTTGCTGATCAGGCTGGAAGGTGATACTGGACAAAATGTCACAACGGTAACCTAAAAGTACCTCTAATACCCCCTGATTTTTATAGGGGTTTCGGCTATTTCGAGGCTGGTTTCAGCCATTTCTACCCTAGTCTTAGCTGGTTAGGCTGGGGTATAATACTGGTCAAAGTGCCACAACAGTTACCTAAAAGTATGTCTCAAAAAAATAAAATATGGTAGGCTACGTGCAACAACATAGTCAAGAAGTATGCACATTATTTACAAAACCAATGTGCAAGCCTGCTGTAAATTTTCCTGTTCACACGAAGGGTTTTTTCGTGAGCATGTGGCAGCAGAAGTCTCGTGTTGGTTTCCCCCCTGAAAATGCCACTTTAGGGCTTTCCACATGTAATTTTAATAACTTTGTTTGCTATTGACAAGTATGAATAGACTAATTTAATTTAAAAAAAGGTTCTTGTATTCTTTTGGCTGTACAGACCTCAAACACAATGTCATACAAGCAGACCATGAGCAAATGGAAATGTTGTGGTGATGAATAGTAACTTTCGTTTTGACTATAAGTTTAGCTGCATGATAATGTATGTATAAAAGGAAGCGTGGCACCAAACCCCACCCCTAAACCCAACCGTCATTAGGAGATGAGCAAATTGTACTATGTATAAATGATCCTGTACAAATACATAAGAATTTACCACTAAATCAAAAAAAGTTACAAACTGGCATGAGATAGCATTGACATTGCATGCATCACTTTATTGATGAGCGACATGAAAACATCTTTTTTTGTTTTTAAATTCTGGAAAGTCATTTGTAGTAGGACTTGCAATTGTGGTAAATAATGTAAATAAACCAATTTTTAAATGCTGTATTAGTAACTACTTGAAATTCAACATTGAGTATAAAACTCCTATATCCATATTATGATTGTGCTTTTCTATTGAAGGCAGCTCAGCAGCTCAAAGTTAAAGCGGCAAGTTCACTTTTTGAATAAATAAATATGAATAGATCTGCATGGAGTAGCCTACCAACCCCTTCACCCCAAAACAAGCATTACACATGCTAATTATTTCTGATTTGAAACAATTATAAAGGTTTTGTTAAAATTAACAGAGCTTCATCGAATGTCTATCATCATCCTGTGGAAGTTGTTACTGAAAAAAAAGCTGCTATCTAAGAAAGCAAGATTTCAATCAACCACTAGTAAAAAGAAGCTTCAGCATAAAAGTACTTTAAATAATATGCTTTTTATGACCAAATGTGTATTTTGTTGAGCAATATATTTGTCAAAGTCTGTCAAAAGAAAAAACCTGGAGTGACAGTGGAAATGAGACTAATGCTTTATAATGTCAAAAAGTGTTGCATATTAATAATGTAATATCTTGTTCATTCATTTTCTTTTCGAATTAGTCCTATTATTAATCAAGGGTCGCCACAGTGAAACGAATCGCCAACTTTAATGTAATAAATATTCATTTTAAAAATGAATGCAGTTTTTTTTTTCAGTCTCTCTGTTTCTAATACTTCTCTTCTCTGTCCAGAACTCCACGGTGCAGATTTCCATCAAAATTATTGAAGATCATCATACTGACCCAGAGCTGATTAACATCTATAAATTACGATCCAGTCCACACATACGCTGTCGTGGTTATGATGAAGATGATCTCAGAGGTTAGACAGACCACATCAGTTTTCAACAGTACCCGTGCCTTGTTTTACTCCGATACACCTGAATGGGCTTCAAGACCCGTATACAGTAAAAAGATATCGAGTAATCTAAATGTGTTGTCCAGTATTTTTTTCTCTAGTTGATTGTTTCCTCTTCATCCAAACTAAATCTGAACTATGAATCTTGAACATTTCAGTCCAAATTTTCAACAAAAAAAAAGGCCAGTAACTTTAACCCTCATTTCTTTACAAATAATCAACTTCATTCAATTCATTGATAGTTATTAAAGTGTTTTTGTAGATAAAAAAATGACCCATTCAAATAATAATGAAAAAGACACTGGCCAGACAGTCAGTAGGTCATGCTCTACAAATATTTGTGTAACAAATGTTTAAAGAAATGACATTCTTAGCTAAAACAAATCTGCTGAAACTGAAAGAGCAAATTATTCATTTATGCAAAATTAGAAATACAAACTCCAAATTTGCGTGACTAAGAGATCTCAAAACTGTGGGAAAGCAATTGAGTTAGTGTATGTATTAATAGGACTTTTAATCCATAATTTAAGCATATATACATATTACATTTACATATTAAAATATACATTTTATTTTAAAAAATACATATAATCCATAATATTAGCACTGCAGAATAAAAGTGACTGTTTTGTTTTTAGTTAAAGAATTGTTCAGCCTCAAAATATAATTTTATCACCGTTATGTTTATGACTTTAATATTTGTATTCATTTAAGATGTTTTTCACCCGTTATTTTCAATTTGTGAACAAAAACAGTTTAAAATTTTTTAAAATTATCTTTTTTTATGGTCCACAGAAAAAAAAATAAAACGTGTTTTCAATGACAACAGTTATTTGTTAGATTTGTATATACAGTCAAGACTGAAATTATTCATACTCATAAGAGTTATGAATATTTAAAAAAAAATAAATATATATCACTTTTCGGGCTTCCTGATGCAGACAAAATTAAGTCTCTTTTCACAGTCTATGGCTTTCCAAACCTTCTTATTTCTATCCAGAGCTCCGCAGCGCAGATTTCCAGCAGGACACTTGGGTTCCCCCTCCACAGACCAGGCTTTATATTGAAGATCTTCACCACTGACCCAAAACCAATGACCAGCCATGAAGCGCAGACCAGTCCACACAAAATCTGTCTGGGATTTTCCTGTGACATTTATAACCTCTGCCTCAATCATCTCTGAGCTTAAACTCACCAGGTCAATGTAATGCTGTCTGCAATAGTCCAGGGCTTCATCCCACGCCTTATTCTGACTCACCAAAACTGACTCAACGGCATCCATACAATAAAAAGACAGCATATCAGAGCAAAGAGTATCGTGCAGCTTAGAAGTAAATTGTTTTAGCGAAATACAATTCTCAGAGCTATCGTCTGGTTGGTCTGTATCCCAGTTGTCCACTTCTTCCACCTGACCTCCAGACCATATCCATTCATCTGCACGGTCTGGATCTTCATAAAGCCCAATCCAGCTAAATGAATATGTAGCATCTGTATTACTGGAGAGCAGCTGTGCTTCTTCTTTGGTCACGGTGGACAGGTCACTGTGGTATTTTCTGCAGTACGTCTGTGCATCTATCCAGGTCATTTGTTCAGTCACAAAAAAGTGTTTTCTGATACTGGTGTTAAGTCCAAGGAGATTTAAAACAACAAAAAAAGCGATTGTTGCCTTCATTTCTATACTGATGATCTCCTGTGAAGCCCATTTATTGTGTTCAGCGATGGTGTTACACCTTTAGGATGTTTTTGTCTCTTAAATAAGAGCCCAATAAGTAAAGGCACTAGCCAATCAGACTGCTGTATACTCTTCAAGTATTTGTGTAACAAATGTTTAAAGAAATCATTGGTATGATCCTCATCTGTTTTTTTTTAAACAATTGTTTTTAATATAAAAATAATAATTAAAGGATTTAAGTGAAATCCTTTTAAAAATAGACTTTTTTTTATGATTGAAGAATTATAAATTCAGTCTCAAACCCCTATGCTACTCTTCTAAATATTTTTTAACATTTCATTAGTTCAACAGATATAGAAGCAGATATTATTGGACACCAATGCATTTGGGAAATGCAGAATTACAGCTGATCGCAGTGTACAGTACAGTAAATATTTAATTCAATAAAATGGGCAGATAGATAAGTTTCTAAATAAAACTGTAGTGCTGTATGTTTTCTTGTAGAACAAGACAAATCGTCCATAAAAAAACAAATCTTTAGTAGTTAAACTGTAACCAAAAATTACACATCATGATTTTGCTGCACTAGTTTAACCATTGTATTTGTGTTAAAGCAGAGGTTATGCAAATGGTAATGAGTGCACAAAAACAAGACTGCTGCAATTTTAGTTCAGTAAAATCTTGGTTAATTTATGTTGGGGATTTTGCATGATATTTTTGTCCACATTGATGGATATAGACATACTCAAAACCCAAAAGTCTTAAAGAACCATTGAAATGATCTTTTGGGGTAATAGAAACACAAGAAGTCTCTCTTTTTCTTTTTTTTTTTAAATTTCCTAACATTACAATAGAATCCAAATCCTTCCTATTTTTAAGGCGTGACATATGAGTGCAGTTGCCCCGCCCACCGAATAGATTGACAGCCTCATATTAACATTTTTCAATAGTGACAAATATAATTAGAATAAAAAGACAGGGATTGCGCAAAGCAACTGGGATTAAAAGATCTGTTCAGCGCTCTGTGATCATCAATCATCATCAAATGTGAACAAGAATGAGTTTTACAAGTTTAAAATGATTCTAAAACAGTAAATGGCTGTAATTCATTTCAAACATGCACTATCTTTATCACTACAGCTGCATGTCAGTACAATTCTAAAAGAAGACGCTTCAATAACCTGATGTTAAATCAGGATTATTTTGTACATTAACAAAGGATCTCCATACAGCAGTGGATATAAACTTGTATCCTGTCACATTTGCCGTGCAAAAACATTGCAAAGTTAAATGCACTCCCTTTGTGTATGTCCGCTATATCTGTGTGCGTGAACTTTGTAACAACATTGCGCATGACTCATTGCAGAAAGGCTTGAAATAACTCCACAACAAATACTTCAAATAATCATTGGGAAAGTTCTTACTGTAGTGTTTCTCACAAACGTCATGCGAGATCTGCTTTCTTCATGTCTGTCACTGTGCTGTTTATCTGAGGCAGCCGGAGACTGAGTCACATTGTGACAGGCACATGGAAACGGTGGGCGGGGAGAACTAGCATTAAAGGCACAGACAGAAAAAACAACTACATTGTGTTTAGAGCAGTAAATTTCAATATTCTGAAAGGTATAATAAATAATCTGATGGGTGTTTTGAGCTGAATCTTTACAGACACATTCTGGAGATGCAAAAGACTGATCTTAAATCTTGTAAAAGGGGTAAAATTAAAGCCCTTTAAAAGTAAACAAAGCAGCCGGAACACACACAATTGTTTGCACTAGCTTTGTGAGGACTTTTATTGTTTTCTACAAACCTAACAGCACTAATACGTACAGCATTCCAAGCATGCCCTTCAACCAAACATTTTCATCTTTTCTGATAAACCTAATTTAGCCAAGTTTTGAGTCAAAAAGTCTTTTGGCAAATCCTGACCAATACACTCAGTCTGTTCCAGTATGTCCATTAAAACCTTTTCTGTAGTGATTTACATATGCAAAATGCATGTATCAGTGACAAAGTATGTCAGAGGTTGTTCTATTTCCTTAGGCAGGCCTGGCCCTAACCAATTTACCCCTCTAGACAAGATTCCAGGTGGTGCCCCATCGGATCGCAGTAAATTCCACTGCTAGTGTACATATACTCATGAGAAACTTGATAGCTTTGTCTTGAACATTCTTTTATTTAAATAAGATATTGCATGCTTAAAATACTTGGAAGGATTTGCAATGGTGGGACTGAGAAACCTTAACAGTGCATATGAAGAAGAAGAGAATGTGACACCAGTCTAATTAATAAACACTTGAACTCAAGAATGAAATAATATGACATAATATAAAAGCAAAACCTAGAGATACATGCATGATGTAGATTATACTGCATAATAGACCATGTGCTTTTTCTTATTTACAAATTATATTAGTAATTCATAAATTAGCAACAAATAAAATTATATTGTCATTACAGTGAAATGCTAATTAGCAGAATAAGTAAACCGCAGTATAATATATTAGAGCATCTGTTTTCAAATCAGCTATTTGTTAGATTTGTATATACAATCAAACACCTGAAATTAATTATACCCAAGGTATGAGTATGGGCTTGAATATATGTGTATGTATATATATATATATATATATATATATGTATATATATATATATATATATATATATATATATATATATATATATATATATATATATATATATTAAAGCTTCTTGATGCAGACAAAATTAAGTCTCTTTTCACAGTCTATGGCTTTCCAAACCTTCTTATTTCTATCCAGAGCTCCGCAGCGCAGATTTCCATCAGGACACTTGGGTTCCCCCTCCAGAGACCAGGCTATATATTGAAGATCTTCACCACTGACCCAGAACCAATGACCAGCCATGAAGCGCAGACCAGTCCACACAAAATCTGTCTGGGATTTTCCTGTGACATTTATAACCTCTGCCTCAATCATCTCTGAGCTTAGACTCACCAGGTCAGAGTAATTTTGTCTGCAATAGTCCAGGGCTTCATCCCACGCCTTATTCTGACTCACCAACATTGTCTCTACGACATCCATACAATAAAAAAATAGCATATCAGAGCAAAAAGTATCGTGCAGCTTAGAAGTGGATTGCTTTAACGAAACACAATGCTGAGTGTTATCATCTGGTTGGTCTGCATCCCAATTGTCCACTTCTTCCATCTGACCTCCAGACCATATCCATACATCTGCAAGGTCTGGATCTTCATAAAGCCCAATCCAGCTAAATGAATATGTAGCATCTGTATTACTGGAGAGCAGCTGTGCTTCTTCTTTGGTCACGGTGGACAGGTCACTGTGGTGTTTTCTGCAGTACGTCTGTGCATCTTTCCAGGTCATTTGTTCAGTCACAAAAAAGTGTGTTCTGAAACTGGTGTTGAGTCCAAAGAGCCCCAAAAGAAAGAGCACAGCGATTGAAGCCTTCATTTCTATACTGATGATCTCCTGTGATGCCCTTTATTGTGCTCTTACACCTTTACGTTTTTTTTGTCTCTTATAAGAGCCCAATAAGTAAAGGCACTAGCCAATCAGACTGCTGTATACTCTTCATGTATTTGTGTAACAAATGTTTAAAGAAATCATGATTGATTGCAAACAAGCGGATGATTGATATGGTCCTCAGCTGTTTTGCAAGACGATTGTTTTTGATATAAAAACATAAATTAAAGAATTTGTTAAGTGAAATCCTTTTAAAAGTATGTTAAAATAGACTTTTATATAAGATATTAAAAAATGATCAATTAAAGGATTTAAGTGAAATCCTTAAAAAATATACTTCTTTAACTCTATGCAAGTCTTCTAAATATTTTGTAACATTTCATTAAGTGAGTTACAGATACAGAAGCAGATATTATTGGACACCAATGCATTTGGGGAATGCCGAATTACAGCTGATCGCCGTGTACAGTACAGTAAATATTTGATTCATTAAATAGGGCAGATAGAGTCTTTAGCTTCTACATAAAACTGTAGTGCTGTATGTTTTCTTGTAGAACAGGACAGATTGTCCTTAAAAAACAAAACATGGTTTTAGTAGTTAAACTGTAACCAAAAATTACACATCATGATTTTGCTGCACTAGTTTAACCATTGTATTTGTGTTAAAGCAGAGGTTATGCAAATGGTAACGAGTGCACAAAAACAAGACTGCTGCAATTTTAATACAGTAAAATCTTGGTTAATTTACGTAGGGGATGTTTTTGTCCACATTGAAGTCCTAAAGAACCATTAAAATAATCTTTTGTAAGCTGTTTGGACAGAACTGTGTGTAGGTATTATGTGTACACACTAATATTGGGGTGATAGAAACACAAGAAGTCTCGGTAGCACTTTATAATAACTTCACACTATGAATCATTTATTAGGAGAAGCACTTTAGCAAGGAGACCAGCAGCGTATAAGGACATTTAGACTTGTTTTCAGTTGTTAGTGTGTGGTGCTAGAAAGTTTACTCACTGTAAGAGCTTATGTGTGTATCACCGACGGTTTAGATTGAAATACAATTAATCAATGTCGCGTGTATCCCCGCCTCAGTTTCTGTTGTTTTATTGTGGGTACTCTCGAGGCGTGTCCAGCTGAATTCAATCAGCAAGCGCTCAGAGGTGTATATAAGCAGCTAGTCTCACCGCGGCACCCTCATGTGAAGGTCGCCTCGTGTGAAGACTGACGAGTGTAAAGACCTTCTACTCTACCTGCGCGACTCCACCGAGCAAAGACACTGACAAAGCACTTGAGTACTTTACTTATTTATTTTACTTTATCTTTGCACTTATTATTGTTTTTAATCGCACTTTTCTTATGTGTTTACTAATTCCTGTTGTTACTAACACTCGCAAAGCACGGGAGGTACACGGCAGGCGTAATTCTCACAACCTTTGTTCAATACATGTATCTGCTATTTCACAACTCTCTCTCTCTCTGGGCCTCTGGAATTGTCAATCTGCTGTGAACAAGGCAGATCTTATGTAGGCTGAGAAAATATTGTATACTATTCCTTCTATGCTAATGAAGGACTACTGAGACATTCCAAGCATGGGATGGGTCTTCCTGGTGAGGCAGAGTTCCTCACAGCTTCAATATACATCTCTGCCATTTGCTAACAGTAACCATGTGCTCTTCACCATACACAATTTATCTGCTCGTGATCTTCCTTCGGATATCTTTGTCATGTTTGGAGTCATTTGACAGTTTATGACTTCAGTGTTGTAGTGATGAAATCAACAGAGACATTGATTAATTGTGTTTCAATCTACAATATATTTACTATTGCTGAG